GGGGGGCGGGGGGGGGGGGGGGGGGGGGGGGGGGGGGGGGGGGGGAGGAGTACGGACACCAAATCGCGCACGCACTCACACGCACGCGCGCAGGACAAAACACAATACAAAACCAAAAGCGCTACGCAAATTTTAGCCCTCAGCCACCTGCTGTTGCCATGGAGAGTTGCCACATTGCGTTGCCACGGCGATAACATATTTTTCCTGCTCTAACAGCCTGTCTGTTTTCCCTACCACCCCACCCATTTCATCACCCCCCCACCGCTATACTGCTCTCTCCCTTTTTTTTTTTACTCATCCTCTCCTCTCTCTCTCTCTCTCTCTCCCTTAACAAATGGCTTTACAGTGCGACAGCACCTGCCCTATACTACATGTGTTGCCATGGTGGCGTTGCGGTCGCCAAGGCAACGCTATACATTTAATTTAGCGGTCGAGGGGGTAAACCTGTGGCCGACACCCCCTCCTCCTCCTTAACATCCTCCTCTCATTTTTATATATATATATATATATATTTTACGCCAAGGGAAAATAAAGGGAGGGTCGGAAATAAAGAAAGAGTGGAATGAAATGAGAGTGAGTGAGAGGGTGAGCCCCTCTGAGACAACCGTACCTCCCTCCCCTCCTCCCCTCCTGCCTCCCCCTTCCATCCAGATGCTGATGGGCTGTGAAGGAATGCACCGTGGAGCTGACCTCCAACAGGACTCGCTCCTCTCTCACCCTCTCTCGTCCCCTGCACGTGCACAGCCAAACATATGTTAGACACGACATGTTTGCATACATCCATCCACACACACACACACACTAAAGATGTCCACACGGACTGACACCAGCCTGAACTACGTTAGTGTGGCCCATGGAAAACCAAAGAGGGGCAGGTGACAAAAGAAGCGTTCTGGCCCCCCCCCCCCCCCCCCCCCCTTCCCCCCCCCCCCCCCCCTTTAAGCCACCTCACTCCTCATCTCTCCATCCTTTCATCCTGCCACTTCCTCACTCCTCATCTCCTCATCCTCTGTGCTCCTCTTCCCCTCCTGACTTGTGCTCGAGACAGTCCTTGACCTTATGATACTAGACACGGCGCACATCCATTTGCAGTCATTACACTCCGTACTGTAATATTCTTGAAAGAGAGGGCTCTCGAAACAGATATTGCCTCATATTGATTGGACACACTGAGTACTCTGATAAATCTATGGGGGACCAATTATTATTTCCCCTTTTTCCACCGTGCGATAATTTGCATTTTTGCTCAATTGTTTCAATTTCCGAGACTAATTCATTAACGCTATCAACTGAATATTAAGGCTCACTGGGGCACTTCATGTTTTATGGAAAACCATCTCCCTATGTGATGAGTTTATTTTCCAAGAAAGAACATTTTATATATCTATATTTTTTTTATTGGAGTTTTTTTTATTGTAGTTGATATTTAGATATCATTTTGGGACAGCTAAACTTTTAGCATCCTAAAACTTTTTTGAACCATTTAGCAGGAAGCTCGTGTACTGGAACCTGCATATGAACTACATGTAGTGATGTGGCAGCAGAATTGTGGCTGTAAATTATGGCAGTGAGGAGAAAACTTGATAAAGTTTGGGAGTTCTGTGCTGTTTAGGGAGTAACTTCATAACCAAGACAATTGGACAATAAATCCTGTCCCTATCCACACGGTGGTGAGTTGAGCAAGCTGAGGACATCGCCTTTGTAAACTGATAGTTCTGAGCCTCTGTGCCCCCTGCTGGGCTAAATTATGACACAGCGCTTTAGTTGTGAGTAATAATTCCCCTTAACCTCCTAAATTCACAATTCACAAAGTGTCTTCAAAGTTAGAAAGTACATCCCACCACCACAGGGTAACGTGGCACATCTCTCCAACACAAACAATATTTTATTACGGCGCTGTTGGATCAAATTGAAAATCACAGATCTCGTGGATACACTTTAACATGGTTTGCTTACTGCGACTTACTAACTGGATTTCTTTGGCATCTCTGGGAGGGGAGGGGGGGGATCCATCATTACTGTGTAATAGAGCAGTAGCAAAACGTTACCAAGAAGAGGTGCGGGGCATCACACAAGTGGTTTTTATGCCGTAGCCCATTAGCAACACATCGCGCATGCAGCGTCAGCGCACACTGGTTCGTTTTCTACCTCCTTCACAGCTGCTGTTTTGGATTGTATTCGTTTCGAAATGGATACAGACCAAAAACTGTTTCAACAGTTGTACTTTTGGAGAATTTGCACGATGATGTTGCTGTTACATCATCCAACAGCATCCAAACTAAAACCCGACGCCTGCTGGAAATGTCAAATACACACATGAAGCACGAAGTGAAGATGCATGAATACCTGCGCTCCACATGGACCACATCTTCGCTCTTACCGAAAAAAAAAGAAAAAAAAATCTCCTCACTCACTATCACATTCAATACTGCACGCCACAATGCAAATGAGCAACCTGCCGTCTCTTCCTCTTCTCCCTTCACTCCCTCCATGTGCTCCTCACCAGACCCCCCCCCGCCTCCCCTCCCTTCACGGCCCCCCAATTTGTTCCACTTCCCCATACCTCATTGTTCAAAATGACACTTTTACATTTTATGGTGAACCAATTATTCTGTCTTACACAGTCCGCTGGCTCTGCAAGCCAGCATGCCTGGATCAACTGGGGAGCGGGGTGGAGAGGAGGCGATGGTCTTGGGGTGTTCACAGAGGTGGAGAGCACAGGAGTGAGAGAGCGGGAGAGAATGCAAGACAGAGAGAGAGAGAGAGAGCAAAAGAGAAAGAAAACAGACGACTAATGGTACCTCTCACTGACATATCCACAGGGATGTGCGAAAGAATCGGAGACCAGGAAGTTACAGGCTCGAGGGGTAGAGGAGAGGTCAGGAGAGGAGAGGGGTGTGTGGGAAACAACACAGACGGATGCGTCCACGTCGGGCGTGCGCACGCACCTGCGATTTTTGCACGTCAGAAAGAGGTGAATGCAGACAAAAGAGTATCTAATTGAATGATAAAGTGGTGGAGGGGAAGTGAAAAGACTGGAAAGCGAGCGGGGGATAAATCACAGCAGGGGTAAATAAAGAAGACGGAGTTGCCAGCGCACCACCAGTTGTAATGTATGCCGGAGGACGAGCGGGAGGGTGTGTGTGTGTGTGTGTGAGATGTTAAAGGAGAAGGCAGGAGNNGAACAGGGGAGCTGGAGAAAAGGCAAAACAGGGGGGAGGAGTAGTGGAGCTGGGGAGGAGGTTAGGTAGCGAACATGTGAAGGGAGAGGGAGAAAAAAGGGAACCAAGGGTTTTACATGTGAGAGGCCTGAGGGGGAAGGAGATAGGAGAAGAGACAGGAGTGTTGTTGCACAGGGTGGAAAAAAAAAAGACTTTAAAAAGCATGAGGAGGGTCACCTTTATAACGCCTGAGGGATGAGGGCGGAGGGTGGTAAAGAAAAGGAGGAGTACTTCACAGGTGCTGTGAACAAATATCTTCTTTTTTTTTTTTTACAATAACTTCATGTATATAATAATTTAATAATTCTTCAATGTGGTTTCTACAAACCTTGAAGTCGTAAAACTACCTGATGAGTTCCTGGTGCAAGTGGTGATAGAAATAAATAGTCTTACCATGACAGCCAGTGCTTGATTACCAATCAGGCGCCTGATTGTATTTATTACTAGATAAATGTCTGGGTTAATTTAAATCAGTGTCGAGACACAAGGAGCTCGACTTTTCAGACCAACATCGGGGCAAAGGTTCAAACCACGACAGGTTCTTGTAATTGGCCTATTGGCTAATCTTGAGATGAGATGATTCAACATATTTTATCTTATAAGCAGTTTGTTTTTATAAGAATTTATAATAAAGTAAAATTTGTCACTAATTTGTCACGTGACTTAGGAGGATATAGTATATAAGATCATCATATCAAATCATTTCCTTAATCATTTTTATGTGACCCAGAGAGTACACTGTATACGCTACTACAGGGATGGGCAAACTAAGGCCCGGGGGCCGCATGTGGCCCATTTATCTTTTTAATTCGGCCTGCCAAATGTTTCCAAATTAAATAAATATGTGGCCCATTTATCTTTTTAATTCGGCCCACCAAATGTTTCCAAATTAAATAAAATATTAAATATTAACATTTATATTATCATTATACTTCAGCCTTTTCCCTGCAATATACATGTCTCACAAATAGAGGGCGTAGAAAATGATATAAACATTGTAGCATTTTAGCCTTTATGCATGACTACACTCCATCTATCTGCTCCTGAGCCGGCCCCCCACTGGTCAATTTTACACTCGTGGCCCGCGAGTCAAAAAGTTTGCCCACACCTGTGCTATCGTGTTTGTTACTCATTTGTGATGCTAGCCACTCGTTGTAGTTTTTTTGTGGTTTCGTTTCAAGAAACAGATAGCATGCACGCATACGTCTAGTGTTGTGGACATGCCGTAGAAACCTACCGAACGAATAATAAAAAAAAAAAATCATATTCAGTTGATATCACAAACGGAAAAATGAGCCTGAGCAAAGTTGTCAGTGACACAGATGGGAGTTGAAGATAAAGTGACTGTCAGCAGCAGGGGAATGTTACAGCCAGTGGCTCCTGTCACTTTGTCAGGTGCCACAAAGAATACCGAGACCTGACTACAACTATCCCAGGTAATATAAGACCTAACCTATGAGGTGATACAATGTGCACCTCTGGTTGCTTCGCTAGTAAAATCATATAAAATATGACATACAGTCATAAGCAGTAAAAAAAAAAAAAAATAGGACTATGGAATGTCGTGTCTTGAGATGGGACTTTAGCAATATTGATTTTATCGTGAATAAAATATTGTATTGCGTAATAACATGCAAAAATAATATGTAGATATTAGATGAAGCCTTGGTCACAATTGCTTTTTCTGAGGCCAAACCCCTCAGAGAAAACCCTAGTGGCTGGTTAACAGAAGTACAGTTTATTAGGTTTAGGAAAGTCTATAAATTTGAATAAGGAATGTAAAAACAAAACAAAACAAAAAAAAAAACAGGCCGGTCCAGGGAGCAGTGGTTAATTCATGCCCGCTGTAATTGCTTAATTACATTTGTTTAATTGATAAGATTAAGCCAATGCAGGTTTAATCAATGGACCCCAGTATTAAGGAAAGATTAACGCAAGTATTATTTTCCTGTTGCCTAATGGCCAGATAAAGGGTGTATCCCTAATCTTCATGATATATCACGATATAATTTGAAGAGCTCCCTTTCCTCCCCTGCGGGTGGCGCTCATAAAAAAATGCAGGTGAGTTAAAAAAGTAAAAAACTGTATTTGACTCTATGCTATATTTGCAGAATAATTTACCTCGGGAAGAAGGTCAGCTTGGAGCCAAACAACATGTAGCAGCAGTTGTGTAATGTACGTAAAGTGTTCTTTAGGTACACTGATCCACCATGTCTAACCGCATACGGTGTCTGCTTTGATCAGGCGCAATTATCCGACAGAATTATACGCATTAAAAAGAGGCAATCGTGTCAGTAAACCCCAAGAATCAACGTAATCCTTCTTACCTGTGATGAAATGTCTGAGGCAGAGTCGGTGGAGAATTGGAAGGTGTGGCCAGGCTGGGCGAGAAGGGGTGGTACGGCGTCTTCTTCAACGCCTGGATCAGGTTGTGCCTATACTCCGGATCTATGGACCACAGGGAGCCTTTGCCTATGCTCTGAAGGAGAGGAATAAAGAGAGGCGAGCGGGAGGAAGGAAGCGAGGGAGGAGTGGACGGAGGCACAGGGAGAGACAGATGAGAGAGGTGTTATTTGAAGTGCTATCAGGCCCCTCAGAGCACATCACAAACACAGCACACTGACCTGAGCCAACAGGTCTGAAAGACCAAACACAAGCTCAAAGTACAGAGTGAGCGTCGATCCCTATTTACTAAACCACCTGTACACACACACACACACACACACACACAGCCCTGCTGCATTCCCACAGAGATAAAGAGCTTGAGAAAAATGACATCCTGAGCATCTCCGGGCTCAAACACTGATATGCTTTGCCTCATTCACCCTTCAAACAAAACAAGCCTCCCATCAAATCCTCGGAAAAACATTAGCCATACGGAAACTCCCAGATTTTTTATTAAGTTTTATATATATATATATATATATATATATATAAAGATAGCACTTAAAGAAAGAAAAGGAATCCTTCCTCAATCCACATTGACACTTCCCTCAGTATTTTTCAATCCTCTGCTTTTCCCCGAGGGAGTGAAATCATCTTTTTTGGATTAAGAGACAGTGGAAACTCTTTAACTTTTTTCACTCCAGAGGCGCTGGTGGTGTATATTTTTAGATCAAAGCCGTTTCCACTTCACCTAATGAAGCTGCCAAATGTGAGTGAAAACCAGTGTGTAGATCACAATAAGGAGAGAAATCTCAGATGGGCCGCCGTGGAAATACTCCCCATACTCCGTACATCTATCTCCCACAGACCTTTTCTGGGGCTTCCAGCTACCGTGTCGTACGGATTTGTTGAAATGCGGAGTGCCGCCGAGACTGAGCCTGACAAGCAGATGCTGAAATGGAAGCGAATGTAAAATTAAAGTTGCAGTACCCCTGCCTCGTTCCTGCTCACTCTGTTACCCTGTGATACGTTTCTGGTTCAGGCTACCGGGGCGGTGAAATGTCATGACTGCACACTTCTGTTGTCAGCTGTACAAATACTGCAAAGACTTTATCACAGACAAATAACAGATCTGCAAGAGAGACTTTATCACAGACAAATAACAGATCTTCAAGAGACAAACAGTATGGTAACGTAAAAAAAAAGAAAAAAAAAGAATCTAAATATGTATTGTTCTTTTGTAGCTCAAGCACTACATATAAACATATAAATGCACATGCAGAACATAGCAGTGATTATGATGAGTATATGAAAATGAAATGAGAAACAAAGACCTTATGGTGTTATTTTACTCACAATTTACTTAGTGTGAAATCAGATCCTGTTTAGTTGAACACAATCCTAATATTCAATTCCTACTTTCAATTTCCTTCAGTGTATGTATATATCGATATCAGTACATCTAAAAACATGGCAGCACATAATCTAAGGCTCCCTCCATATTCAGTCAATGATAGTGAAAGACTTAGGGAGCCTGGTGAAAGTGGAGAGGACAGAAACTGCAAGGGAATTTGCCTGACATTCGAGACCTGACCGTACCACCAGGCATGTAATGGACAAAGCCACATGGGCACATACTTGAGGAAATTCTAGGATCTCAATACAGTCACTGCTGCATTCAAAATTCTCACGGTTATAGTATGTAGTCAAATAAAATAAAAAAATAAAAAAATGGTAGTCTCTGAACTTGAGATCATCTATGACGGAACGTCAGATGATCACAGAACATAAGGAACATATGTACATACATATATTCATATGTCTCGTTACGAGAGAAATTTAGTGTCTGACGATGAAAAGAGATGAATAAATGAAAACTAATTAGTCATTTTTCATACATCCCCTCATTTCCAAAGAAAAACATTTATTTTTCAAATGAAAAAAAAAGCTAGAAAAAATAAAAGTGTATCCTTAAATAGGCTCCAGAGACTCTGTTGTTTCAAGCACTGCACTGGTTTACAGCAAAAGAGCCGCACATGAAAGATGCATTCCCGCCAAAATGTTCTCTAATTACATCACATGAAAATTTAATAAATTCGCAACTGTCATTTCCATTGCAAAGACAGGGTATTTTATAAGCATTTAAAAGCAGATCCTCTTATCTGCTGCACTGTACTCACACAGCCTCCAGCTTTAAAATATCAAAGTGAATTAACAAACGCATTTATTCCATCCTGAGAGCTGAGTTTTCCTGTTTGAGAGATAATTGAGGATTCAAATCGTAATAATAACTCCAATGATTTCTAATGAATGATTAAAAGAAAAAAAAAACTCTACAGCATCTGGAGTACGACCCTGAGTGTAATAGGGTCTTAACCTGCCCCTCAACCCTCGGCGCATCACGTGACCTTGCGAGAATGCATGAAACCTAAAGTACGCGCGTGCCGTAGTGATTTGTGTCGCACCTGTCAGCGTCGCCGCATTAGTATGTCGTTTCTTTTGAATACAGGCCGTATGCATTGGTTTGGCCGTGCGTGTGTGTGTGTGCGTGCGCGTGTGTATGTGCATGTGTGTATTCAAAGTTCCCTAGGGAGTGTGATATTACCCAGCATGGTCCGCTCCTGGGAGAGCTTCTATTACTGCCAGCAACGCCTCTCCTGGAGAGCATGATATTACACACACATACAATCGCTCCCACAGAGGTGACCCCCACTGGGCCAAATTTCCCCTTGCACCTTCAGCCGGCGCCCGCCTCTCAATGTGTGTATGTGCGCGCGCGTGCACGTGCACGTGCACCAACTGTCTGCCTCCTTGGCAGCCGATTAAATCAATGCTCAGCACAGAATCGCAGTCTGCCGGGGCTCCTGCCTATGACAACAAACCAGCCATTAAAGGCCTCAATCTCTGGATACCCCAACCTCGCCAATCTCTCTCACACACACACTCACACAAACATTGTCAGCAAACCAATCACAGGGCACGGCTCACAGGAAGGGTCCGTCACCTGGGTTATGGCAGTCGCCTTGGCAACAGGCATCATCTGCGCTCGGGAGAAAGAGGAGGTGAAATGGACTTTTCATTTTCTGACAAATTCAAAAAGTTGCGAACAAGGCAGCCTGTCTTAAAATCGATTGCCATAAAAAGCATGTGAAGCCGGGGATCCACGGTTTTATGTTTTCTGAGGGTTTTGAAGTTTAATTCACACTTTTAAAACTTCAGCGAGGCTGGAATTTCGAGCAGCTTAGCAGTTTGGACAGGTGTCCAAAACTGCGAGCTCCAATTTCATTTCTGGAGCAGCGTTTTGTGTCTCGAGTTTTCCTAAAGAGGCATGGCTGAAATAAAATCCTGTCACTTTGTTTTCAGCTGTCGAAAAGTGTTACACAACAAACAATCCGCAGCACCACGCAGTTAGAACCTTCCAACTTCACCGTGACGTACGTAGAAAGTTCAGGCACTCGTTAACGACGCGTTAGATCTAATGCAGATGCAGTCCGATCCTGATGTCTCCGTAACACGCGCACAAGCTGGACGAGACGTAACGATACCGGAGGAGGAATGAGGAGGACAAAAGACAAAGGCGGAGGTAAATATAAAGAGACAGAAGGAGGGAGCAAGGGAGGGGGAGAGAAAAAGTAAGGGAGGTAAAAGGAGAGCGAGAGGATGAGGGAGTGATGATTGTGTGTTGCCAACATCTGTTTCCTGTGTTATATAAGCTGTGGGGGCTGGACTCCCTTGGAAATAGGAGATATTAAAAAGTCCTGCTGCCACTGACCTCGCTAGTACCGCTACATTACTGCTACTGCATTCCTGACCGCAGTATTATCTCAGCTCCTACGGTGTACACTGACAATCAATACTGAAAACGTATACCCGAGTATCACATGTGACACCAGGATGTCCTAACAAGGAAGACAGAAATGCTTAAAAGGCAACGAAGGTCAGGAAAAAAGAACACCGTTTTTTTACTTAAATGTTACAGCTTTTCTCGTACATTTAGGATGTGTTTCAATTGTTTCATTGTAGTTGGCTGGTACAAATGCAACGAAAACCTTCAGTTAACAGTCTGGTGTTTCAATCAAACCCTTTATGTGACTATTTGTACAAGAAATCAACTTTGAGTCACAGCTCATTCCTCCGTGTGTTTAACATATTCAGAGACAATTACCAGCACATTGTATGAGAAATGTATTTATGGGAACGGGATGTAGCCACACAGACTCGTGAGCTACTTCAGGAAATCATCGACTCTCGTGACTATATGATGCAAAAAAGGTTCATTAATTTGTGCAAAAATGAGTCACGTCCTCTGGGCTCCAGCTCATCTGAGATGGACTGAGAGGCATTCGAGTCTGGTCTGTTTCGGACGAACAAGGACATCGTGGTCTACATGCTAAAGATAGACGAGACCATCAGTGGTTCCCGAACATTTTCTGCAGCGCCCCCTTTTGTAGATAGTAGGACTACTGTCATATCTCCATCCCTGATCTCCACTGAACTTTATTTTAAATAATTTGTTATAAATAGTGATGTTGACACCATTAAAAAAAATGCAATAACTGTACACACAAAGGGGTCCCGACCCTCACTTTGGAAGTAGCTGCTTATAAAGTGCTTGAATCGGTGAGCTGGGAGCTTCTGCCTGGAAGTCATTGAGTGTTCCAGGCTGCTACATAAGCACCTAGCATGTTCTGGAGGTTAGTCTGAGGAGTGGGGGATTATGGGAAGCGAGTGTCTGTGACTGTGTCCCTGTACTGACACAACACAATTATATTAATCAATAGCCATGTAATAAATCTGGTGCTTAAATTAATAAACATATGTCTGTTTTGGACAAGGTTGCTGGTTCAAATCCCAATTCTCATGACGGCTGCGGGGTTTTTCTGTTATCAGTGTGTATATTTATAAATGTACATGACGAATAATACTTCTTTGTCCCTATGTGTTGCACGTATTTGAATATTCAGGTTGAATTAACAATGTCAAACCTTGTCCCTTTACCAACCTCGGTGGACAGACAGGAGACAGTCGTTATAAAGTGCTTGAATCGGTGAGCTGCCTGGAAGTCATTGAGTGTCCCAGGCCGCTACATAAACA